TTCTTCAAAGGACAGACTCTCCTGTGAGCATTGCTTTTCATGTCATGGACTCAATGAACTGTCGTGGAGATGGTTCCCAGCTCCCCTCCCATCCAAGCAGTTTTTCTGCAAGCCAGTGTCCATGCTTAGCTCTACACTTTCCACAATAGCTTTAGGATTCTTGTTCAAGGAAAACTCCACTTTCTTAGCATTTGTGTGTGAGTGGTAATGCAGGCTCAAGGTCTCAGCAAAAGCCTATTGTAAGCTACATATTTTTGTCAGGAGAGTAACTGGAGGTCAGTTGAATTTTGCCAGAGACTATTGCTTATTCCTATCTAAGTCTAAGGTGTAAAAATGAGTGGTTTGGCTTATGAATTCTCTCCTATAAATGGTAGCAGCTACTGCATTTGTTGAAGTTGTAACATGCAAGCACTATCAAGTACCTGAAATCACTAATAATTCATATTTTCTTCCCTAGCCCTTGTGTGCTTGCCAACCTACATGCACGCAGTTGTAGACAGACGCTATCTCGAGTCACAGGGCTACTCGGTGTCGAACATCAGCTTGTCTGACTCTTATTGTAGACCAACAATTACGTCGACCGAGGTTATATTCAATGTTCCATACAACAGCTGTGGTACACTTAGACAGGTTGGTGCCAACATATTTTGGGGAGTTCTCTCAGTCTGGATGTAGAAGCTTAATAGACATTTGAAGAATTGTCATGAATCACAAGGGGTGTTATAGCCCACAGGTATTCAAAAGACAGAAAAGAAGCATGGGTTTGGGGAGGCTAAGATTTGTTAAACATTCCTACTTAGCCTTCCGAGGGTTTAGGTAATCCCTGTATCTATTTCAGGTGATATTCTAGAGAACAATGTATAGGAGAGAGTTAAGTGAAAAGTCCCATCCAGGGTGCTTGGGTTTTTTGGGCATGACATGTTCTTTCTGACTAATAGTAGGACCTGGCACATACAGAAGTTCCCAGTACATACTGTGAACATGACTACATGTGATAATTTTCTTCTCATTTAATGTGTCAAATAGGGCAACAATGAAACGATCACCTACTCCAACGTGATAAAACTGCCTGCTCCTGGTTACATCATCAAGAGGCAAAAGGACCTTCATTTGCACATCAACTGCAAAATGCTTCAGAACACCTGGGTGCAAGTAATGTACATCGCTGATGACATCATTAATGTCACTGAAACCCAGTACGGCAGATATGATGTGAACTTGACATTCTACAACTCCTCACATTTCCTGTGGCCGGTGCATGACTTTCCATACTACGTTGACATGAATCAGGATTTGTTCCTTCAAGCTTCTCTTCACAGCTCTGACCCGAATCTGGTATTGTTTGTGGACACATGTGTGGCATCACCTAATCCTAGAGATTTTAGAACAGTGACCTATGAATTGATCAGAAGCGGGTAAGAACTTTCTAAAGAATTACTTCAAAATTATCTACATGCACAATTCTGAAAGAACTTGATTTGTGAAAGAGGTGATTTGAGGCCAGTGTACATTGGTTACAATTCTCAATACAAACGTGCTTCTAAGAAAGACTTTTTTATTCAGGCAAAGCCTGAATAAAATGTAATATGACAAATAAATGCCATTCAGAAGTTGCAGTCAAGCACGGAGATTTCACTCAATGAGGCAGTGTAGAAACCGAGGTCTGAATTTGTTTCTGAGATAGATGCATGATGTTGATGGCTCTACATTTCCATACATCAGAATTAGAGTTTTGCAACATCAAAACTAGAATAAAAAACAGTCTGTCCAAAAAAAAAAAGAAAAAAAAGAGAAAAGCCTTAGCCTTTCTTGCTGTTCTAAAAACCTAAACCATTTTGCTTCATTTGATCAATAATGTCCCATTTTATTCCAGGAATTAAAGGCTCACACAAGGTTATTTCCCTTCTCTGCTTGGTGGGATTTGAATTTGTCTCCCTCCCGGGAGGGTGTTCACATCAGTAACCTTAGCAGTGTAGTAACCTACTGCTAAGCTGGAAGTCAGTCTTGTGACAGGTTAATGAAGTGACACGGTGCCTTCTGGGTGAAAGTCTTCCTTTTTACACTTTACGTGAATCTTAGGAAGGTTCTCCTCCTGTTGGGGTTTCTTTTTATTTTATCTATAAAAATACATACTCATTAAGCAGGACACAGAAGGACTGCCTGGCTCTGTGATCAAGACACTCACCAGGGAGACGGGAAAATAGATTCTGATAACTTTCCAGTTCATTTTTACTCACGTGAAAAGGAACTCTGTCAAAAGCAAATGTATTTACTGAATATAAAACCAATAATATCCATCTATAAATATCAGGTGTGTTGGGATATCCCTGCAGTATAAAATAAACTAAGAATGAGAAGACTTAAAATCCTTGGAATTTTAGGTATATTAGGGAAATGAGCACAACGGAATTTTTTTGAGATACAAAGATAATTAATGACAATTTTGAAATATTCTGGGGTAACGATTCTGGGTGAATTATTGTGGTCTTTTTGCATGGTGGTTAAATTAAACCAGAAGGATTAGGATCTACGTTTGGTAACTTCTAAGGCTAGTAATTGTTAGGAAGCGAAACTCATTGACAGGAAAGTTAATCTAGAGACTTGTTCTGTGAAACATCCGGAGATCTTTGTCAGGTGTCTAGATTCCTCAAGCAAGGTACTCTATAAACATCGAAGGACTAAAGACCATGTTTATTTCCCCCAAAAAAAGATGTGCATTAGAATCAGTTTTGTTCTTCCAGAGTCAAAAGGGGCCCTTTCTCTTCCTGCAATAACCTGCAGTAAACAGTTAAACCTCTTTGCAAAAGCAAGCCAGGTCCTCCCCTCTACCTGAAACACAGAAACCAGTAGAACCACTAGTTATTTTTCAGCTATTCATGTTTACACAAACTTTGTTGAGCTATGAAATTTCTGTGCTGTATATGTTATTATGGTAGAAATCACTGCCACCACTGCTTATTTTTGACACTTATTTTCTCTCCTTGCTAAACATACACTTTTTCAAAATCCTTTTGAGTTCTCTTGTACCTTTACTTTCTGGTTTTATATATTGACATAAATTGCACAGAAATAGAGTTTCTATTCACAACAGCTAATCTGTTCATTTTTTACCTTTCCAGGTGTATTAAGGATCCTACCTACTCTTCTTTCTATTCACCATATGGCGAAGTTGCTCGCTTTGCATTCAACGCTTTTTCGTTTGTTAATCGATACCCGTCAGTTTACCTGCAGTGTGAGCTGGTGGTGTGCAGGCAGAATGACTACTTCTCCCGCTGCTATCAAGGTTGTGTTAGTAGGTTCAAGAGGAAGGCAGGTTCTTCCCAGGAAAAAGTGAATGTTGTTATTGGACCTGTTCAGCTCCGGGAAGCTCATGCTGAGAACAGGAATGTTGGTAAGTTTAAATAACTTAAATAACATAAGACTGTGCATATTACGCTATGTTTGCATGTCAGTTCAGCCATGAAATCGAGCTCTCAGGTATGCCTCTACTGGTTTATTCACAACTCTGCCATAATCCTCGAGGGGATTTTTAAAATTAATTTTTATAAAACTGTTTTATAAGGTTTACAAGCTGTTTCCTTTCTATCGTAGTTTAGATCTGTTATTTGTTCTGCACATCAAATGGCAATTGGTTCAGTTCTGTGGGAAGAGGGATAGGATGTTACTCATCTCTCTGCAAGATTTATATTAATTTTTCAAAGCTGTCTGCGTGTATTGGCACGTCTCTAATTTATTAGCGGCCTATCTGTAGGTCTTCTTGAAATGTTGTTCCACAGTGTCCTGTAGCTGCTTTTTGCACTGTCAGGAAAGACCATCTTACGGTCTTAGAGTGTAATCATTGCAAATTCTTAGTTGCTCTTTAATTGCTTGCCATAATCTTTATTTGTTTGGCATGGCCACAGCACCATTTGTGAAACAACATGCAATAAAGCAGTTTGGTTTCTGATCAGATCCAAATTGCACCATTTTAATTCACATTCTCTTTGCCTAATTACTTTGGGATTAACTAGCTCAGGAAAACAAATATAAGCTTCTCTCTTTTTTATGCACAGAGTTGGCCTCTGACATCCACGCGGAAGGGGACTCTCAGAGCCCAGCGCCTGCTGCCAGCTCCACTGTTCCTGTGGCTGTGACCGCCGTGGTGCTGGCAGCTGCTGTTCTCACTGTGGGAGGATTTCTTTTGAAGCGTAAACTGCAGGAACCCATCCCGTACCAGATAATGTGAGAAGCAACCAAAGGCTTGCAGGTGGAAGGTGCTGATATTTCCACCAGTCATCTGTTTCGTGATTTGTTTTTGCAGTCTGTGCAGAGGGTAACTCTTGACTATTCCACCGTCCAGATCTTGTCAGAAGAATGTACTGTACTAAGGTAAAACCTGGTGCTGCCATGAACTGAACGTATAAAGAAGCCTGGCTTTAAAATCCTAAGGTCTAAAGAAAGGTTGATTCTTCCATCCCAGCATCCAAATAAGCTACAATCTTCAATGCCAGACATTTCAGAGCATTTCAGCTGAGCTCCTGTTTGAGTGTCTGTCTGAGAAGACGGATTTAGGTGACTTGAGAAAGAAGAAGTGACTTATTTTGCCATTGCTGATATGCAGATAAAACACCTGTGTAGCACCATGAGATATTCTGGAAAGTAATCCAAGAAAAACATTTATTTGTAGTAAAAATAACGCATTAATGAGCCATAAGCAACAATGAACAGGGGCTGGACGTGAGGAGTTGCTCTTTTACAGCCTTATTTTGGGGGATATAGTTCTTCACAATTCCATGTTTCTATGAGAAAAAGTAGGCCATTTGTAAGATTTTCTATAGAGGATGAATATAATCAAATCTGTTATGCAAATGTGTAATTAAAAAAGCAGGAAAGAAAACTGGTTTTGAGCAATACTTTTTTTTTTTTGTACTTGCAAACGTACCATTGATGTCCCTGAACTCCCAGCTAACGCATTATCAGGTTGGAGAATGTCACTTCTGATGAAGTGACTTTGCTAAGCAATGGTTTCTCCTCTTGTTCTTACGCATTTCTACACCTGTAATGGGAAGGAGAGAGAGAACGTACGTAAGTTGCCACAGGGAAATGTGACCTGTTTGCTATCCCCATGCGAAAACAAAATAAAGAAAATAATAAAGGAAGATGCTGTTTGGAAGAAGCTACTTGCTACAGGTGGATAGGTCACTGGTATTTGATTCAGAAGTGTTCTTCTTTAAACTTTCCTGTTGTCTAGCCAACTATGAAAGAGGAAGGTTAATTGGGAACAGTGTAACGTACTATGTGTGAGGTGAGCCAGAGACAACATAGTGATGTGTGAGGAAGGTGAGCTGTACCCCAGGGCAACCTCCTGACCTGACGAGGAGGATGCAGGCAGCTCTGGTGGGAATCATCATTACAGCCTGTACCATTTCTTCCTGCAAGCTGCCTTTTCCTGGTGACCCCAGGCACTGGCCCAGGTTGCCCAGAGGAGCTGTGGATGCCCCATCCCTGGAGGGGTTCAAGGCCAGGCTGGATGAGGCTTTGGGCAACCTGGGCTAGTGGGAGGTGTCCCTGCCCATGGCAGGGGGGTGGAACTAGATGGGCTTTAAGGTTCCTTCCAACCCGGATTATTCTATGATCTCTCCACCCTGTGGAGAAAGCACCATACAAGCAAGATTGACACTGACCACAGAGAGTGGAAGTGAATTTTGTTGTCCACACATGAAGAACAAGGATGGAGGAGGGTTCTACCCTCCTCTCTGCCTATAGCCAGATTTTAAGGGCAGAGCAATCCAGGAGGCTGACCTGCCTTTCATCTAAGCCTGTTGTGTGGTCCAGAGATAGTCCAGGCTTGGAGGAATCCAGCCACCTGCTCAGCACGGTGAAGACTTTCCTGGTTCTGGGCTTTCCTACCTCTGTAGAGGGATGTTAGTGCCTCCAATATGCAACACGCCTGTACTGTTCAGAGCTGTCTTCCCATACTGTGTCTGTGCCAGGGGTCCCAGATGGAGATATACTAAGGTTGTACCAGAATGCAGGGTAGAAGGACCAAGTTCAGTAGTTTCCATATTAAATGTTGCTGTAGAAAATACTGCTAAACTGTTTGAGTAGCTGATGTCTCAGAATCATCCTCCTTACTTCCTGCTGCCTTCCTTGATACACAGGTATTACAGAATTCAGGATTATGGGATTCAAGAAAACTGGATTTGTTGATGAGGAAAGGGTCATGCTCTAAAGTACATGTGCCTGGTGAATGGTTTATCTGCCAAGAACCTTCCTTCCCTCTTCCTACCCCACCACTTTCAAGAAAGCTTCTACCAGTAAATAAGTATATTTGACTCTCAGTGGTTAACAGTTCTGATCCACTTGCATCCTCACCATTAAACAAATGTAAATCATTTTGCAATGATATGCTTCACATAACGCAGGCAACAGAGCCCAAGAGGCCATCAAGGAACCCGATAAATTAGGCTATGCTGCCTCGTTGCACCATAACGCATAGCTTCAGACTACTGTTTCTTTTTGCAGAAGTTTGTGTATACCCTCATTCCAGCGTAGATACTTTCTTATAGTTACAGGTGAAAGTCAATTAATCTTTTGTGTCTTTTCAATGGTTTTCATGTGGTCCTCACAAAAGCCAGGGTGTCTGCAGAAGCCTCCTTACAACAGTCAGTAGAAGACAAAGTGCTTTCAAAGCTCAGTGGAACTTCTTTCACAGAGTGAGGAGCTGAGAAACTCTTCAAGCTGCCAGAAGTCCTAGAGAACAAAAATATGTTACTGTGAGAAACTTACCTAGCCAATGGGAAGGAGGAAAACATGTGCTATATAGTATTTTCATTAATTAAGTAACTCAAATTAATCTGAAATAGCATTTATCTATTCCTACTGTGAAGATTGTCTGATAAGCAAGATCTCTAGAAATATCTAAATCTTTGGAGTTTGTAGTAAATAATTAATCAGTGAAGAATGTACGGAAGAATTATTAATCAGTGTTGTTAATTTACCTGGACAGTTTGAAATGCTGAGGGTTTTTTTCATTTGAACCATCTGAGAATCACTTTTGTGTTCCCCTTCTTCTCCACCCCTTTCAGTTATCACAAGAGTTTGGAGAAGAATTGCTATCCATCACTTACTCTTGCTTCACTGATTGCAGTGTTTGATTGGTCAGTCAAATATACTGATGCCAAGATGTCAAAACCAGAAGAATAGGAACAACGAATACCAGGTGTTATTTCCTCATTCATGCGCAAACTTGGTTGTTTGTATAAAGAAGAAACATATTTACCATTCTGAACGTTCACTTTCAAGGCTTCCAACACTACCTTTGGCCTCTTGGGCTTTGCACTTCCTTCTTCCATTCAAATAATGCTGGCCTTTGTGGAAAGACCTTCTAAGTAATTTTTCCCTTGGGCTCCTGGACTTTAGTCTTTATCCTTGATGAATGCCCATTCAGGCAATAAATTTGTATATGGCAACAATTGCGCCACAAATTTTAACTCCTGATAATGCCATCCAAGACATGATGGCTGTAGAGGTGGGAATCAGATGAAGAACAATATTCTGGCTCTTCAACTTTAGGATGGTCATCAGCCTTTTCCTATTAAATGGTTAAAATGCAGAAGCACAGGAAAGCAACCACTCTGTCAAGAGAGTGATGAATGAGAATCAAGCATTATTTCATGTTGTGGAAAAGCTTTGGATTCATTCTTCGAAGAGGGATGCAGCTGTAATTGTTACTATGCAAAATTGAACAAGGAATATATTAAGAAAGATTATTAATAGAAATAATAATCTGAGCTTTTTTTCCCCATTTGATGCTTCAAAGAGTCAAAGCAGATTTTAGAATAAAGTTGCAACCTATGTAATTTACTTAACTATGCATAAAAGCCACTGATTTTTCTAGATTCACTGATCATCTAGAGCAAATTACCCATGTGTTGAGGCAAAGTTATCACTTACACGCTATGGCATGAGCTCCTCTCCAATTATGGCCGTGGCTCTCAAGCAAGAAAAGTAGCAAGCAGTATTTCATGCCTCTCTCAAGTCCAATTCTCTTGCTGCCACTCCAACTCTCTTTTCCCAGGTCCTGGACTGGTAGCTCAGCCCAGGACCACCAACTTCCCCCTCTCCTTTCCTCACATCTCCACCACATCCTACATCCACCAAGGGGCTGCAGCCACCTCCTGCCTTAACCTTCTTGTTGTCTCTGCTGCTGATGACAGAGGGATGGATTGATAGTGTGGTGGAGCTAGCAACTTTAGTAGGATGCAGCTGTCTCGATTAAGTGTTTCTCAGCTATCTTCATGTTGTACTCAGCAACAGCCACAGTTCTGGTGTGTTATGTTCAGAGACTCCCTCAACCATAGTTGTATAGGGCCACCAGGTCTTCTTATTTTATTTGGGTATGCCAAAGGTGTAAGAAATGAATGGTCCCCAGGGAGACTTGCCTTACTAGTTGTAACCAAATCATAATGCTTTTTTATTACTTTACTGGAGGAAACCCTTTTACGTTTCAAGATTCCACTGCCTTCCTCAGACCTGCCAAGGAATCTCCTCAAAAAAGAAGAATACTGAGATTCATTGGTCAGAATTGAAAGGTATCTTTCAATAGGAGCTGATTTTCTTTGTACAATTAGATGATTGTGAAACCTATAGCAGCATAAATATCGCCTTCCAGGCAGTGGCAAATGTTAGTTTTGAGATATTAGCTTTCCACAAGATCCAGGAAGTTACACAATCTTGAACAACAAACACATTTTTGTTTCAGATCATAGGACTGTGGTTGCTTTATTGTTCTCCTGTAGAAAGAGAAACCTATAGAGCCACTCCCTTTCAGAAATTGAGACTATATATTCTGACGGTTCTTTCTACCAACAGCACTTGGCGAGACGGGTACCACTATGATTTTGACATGGCTGTTCTTGTTAGGTCCAGCGGTTCTGAAGGCTACATCAGGTAAAGCATTTAGACTTGTTCCAGGGTGCATTAAAAAAACAGAAAGACTGTTTGGGGTCCTCTCTGTTGACTCCATGAATAGAAATCACATTCATACTGATATCAATTTGGGTAAAACATTAAAGAGGAAATTGAGTAAAAGAGATAGCATGGTTTTGTCCTACTAAAATTATGAACTAATCATCATCGTGATTGATAAGAACGATATAAACCATTTATTGGAGTTCATGTTGCTGCCACAGGGTAGTATTTATCTTAGTGTCTTGTATCATTGTGATCCTTGCGTCTGTGAGAACATTATGAATGAGCCACTCTTCCAGTTCCAGAAATTTGTTCTAAGAATTATGGAAGAGTTTTTGGGGTTTTTTAAAATGTGTATTTATTGCAGAGTATATGCACGCATACTTATGCTATGTATTTAATATTGCTGCATTATTTGGTTCTTCTTGATCTTACATACAGTTTAATGAAATATAAGAAGCTAGTTTTCTTAATCTAGCACTGTAGATAAATTAAGGACATCTAAAAATGGTTAAAGACATGAAACGCTTTCAGTTCAGCTTTTTTTGGTCACTGACTTTTTCCTTACACAGTTAGTTCCTGTCTCCTAAGTGACTTAAGTGACTTTCAGCTAAACAGTTTTATGTATATCCTAGAATAATTGCAGATTATTTTTCTAACTAGTTATTCAGGCATCATGATAACTTCTTGCTGTCATCCCCCTCATTCATTTTACTTCATCTGTCCTCCACTTTCCTGGTGATAAGCCATCTTGCTCTCACTCCTCCAGTTCTTTCTGCTCTTGACTTCATTCAGCCCCTGCCTCTGTCTCCTGAGTCAGAATAAGTGGTGTATTTGTATAATCACAGGCTTTTGGTTTTTTGGCACCTTTAAAGCATGAGGCGGGACGCAACCTATCTAATTACATGCCCAGCTGATGCCCAGTGACGACAGACCCTGAATGAACGCAAATAAAACTGGTTTAGATCAGCTTTGATTTCCTAATCCCACTCTGACCTTTTGTCAGGTTTGCTCTTTCACTTCTCAAAAATCCTATAAGTGTGGTTCAACAACAGAGAATTAGATGCAGTGAAGAAATCCTGGAGCTCTTAACTTCTCAGATTTGTTTTGCTTTGGGTGACTTACTCAGGGTTTAATAACAAGCTAAATATGTATTTGTCAGAAATGCAAAGTATAACAAGTTTTGATTTCCAAAGTGTAAATACTGCAAATCTTAAGTTACAACATTTATTTGCTCACTTACACTTGGTGGTAAAGTCTTCAATAAACTTCTTCACCAAAAATAGTTTTTCCTACTGTTTACTTCAGAATGCCTGAACAAGCTAACTCAAACTGGAAAGCACATGGTCTTTACCTGAATGAATGCAGTAATCAGATGTATACATGATAGGTTATTAGGTAGTTCTTTATTTCAAACTCTAGTAACTTTTTACTGGCATATAAGAAATAAAGACACTGGATTCCTATTGAAATTTTTATAATTCTGTTGAGACCATTGTCCATTCTGTTGAACACTTAGTGAATGCTAAAATTACTCTTAAAAACTATAGGAGTTGGTTGTGATGAGTGGACTCCAGATCCTCAAAATTCTTCTAAAATTATTGGAGGAAGAATACAAATTCCAGTTAAATTGCATAAACCAGGCAAAAAACCAACCAACCAACCAAACAAACAAACAAAAAAAACCCCAAAGAATGGCTATTGTTTTCTCTAAAATTCTGTCATTTTTCTAGGGATTCATTTGTCCTCATTCTGACATCATTTTAAGCAAAGTAGTGCACTTCTTGTTGTCTTTCAGTGCATAATATCTCGTGAGCTGCAGTTTATCTGCTTGGTAATTTTTATATGGCAGCACTGTAGCAGCTCCGTGAGCATAAGCTTAGGAGAAAGGCATGCTCTTGGCTGTCCAAGGTGCATCTTGGTGTGTCCCTGAAGCCTCGGTGAGCCACTGCTCTGCTTTCCCTCCCTGCAGCCGGGTCAGCAAAGGCTTTGTACATCGTGTAGAAGCGGTACACATACTTGTTTCTGGTAAAACAGAGATTGAGGGCAGGAAAGCTGTGCTGTATGTCCTAAATTCCAGTAGGACTGAAAGCAAATTGTGATGTCTCCTCATCCTTTAGCATAAAACATTTTGACAGCAGTGAAGAAAAGAAACATAAACATGAAATGTGTTCTTAAAACATGCTATTTTCTTCCTATCAAAAAAGTGGAAAAATTCAGTGTTATTTTCTTAATATGGTTTTACTTAGATTTCATCCAGATACTGAAATACGTTTTCTCTCCTTTGCTTTCCTATTATGCTTCTCTTATTACTAAGAAATTTCCTTTCTTGCTGAAGTAGCTTGTGCTTAGCCTGCTGTCTAAATTTTCTGCACAAATCTTGCATAAAATATCTGCAGCTGACGTTGAGATCTGGAAGCGAGGAAGAAAAAAGGTGTGTGTCCCCTCTGTCCTCGCAGGCATTTAACATTGGGCTAGGCAAGCACCTGCTAGGAAGGATGGGGCAGGAGGGCAGAACAGATGACTCCTTAAGGTGACTTCCAGCTGATTTGTCTGACTGTGTTTGTGCTCAATTCCCTCTCTCCCCAAGCGACCCAACTCCAGCTGGTGAACGGAAGGCACAGATGCGAAGGTCGTGTTGAGCTCTATTACGAAGGACGGTTGGGGACAGTTTGTGATGATTCATGGGACCTTTCCGACGCCCAGGTTGTGTGCAGCCAGCTGGGATGTGGCCAGGCCATTGCAGCTCCAGGAAGCGCTTACTTTGGGCGAGGCTCAGGCAACATCCTGCTGGACGATGTGATGTGCAGAGGAAACGAGGTCTCCTTGTGGGACTGTGGTCACTCCGGATGGGGGAGGCACAACTGTGACCACTATGAAGATGCTGGTGTTGTCTGTTCAGGTGCTGTCATGTTTTTTCTTTTCTAAATACTTTTGCTACAGATTGTATTCCATATCCATGGGTCAGCGTGGGGGTATACATCTAATCTTTCTTTCTACTTTATTATGAAGAATTTTTTATCTGCGGAACAGCACACTGCCTCCAAAAAGGCCTGTTCTCAGGAAGCAGAATCTGATCTTCCAACAACCCATCTTTTCACTCTGCTGACCTTGCAGAGCTAGCATGGACTCATGTTTTTTTCACTAGGGCAGTATCTAAACTGTGCTTGCTCACTCCACACCAAGCAATTACAAAAACCAAGCCTCAGATACGCACTACAATACGCAGAACTTTTATTCCATCTAATCACCCAGCAGTGACAAAGAGAATAAGGAAACAAGTTGAAATCAGAGGCAAAGCTGTGTCTGATAAGCAATGTTCATCAGGGAGGAATGGGGTTAGGTGAAACTCATCACAAGCTTTAATGCATTCATTATGGGCTATAATATTTTCACAGTCACAACCCAAACTGCCATAGCTGACAACTCACTTCACATTGTTTCTGTATTTTTCAAGTTTTCCTTCAAGTTTAGGTTCATTAATATTATTTTCCTTTACAAATATCCATCCATTTTGAGTACTGAGTCACCTTTTTGTTTTCTGATTTTACTTTCCCCTTATTTTTTAAGAAAAAGTGGTTTATTTTTATGTTATTTTCTCCTGTATTAACAACAGATCACCATGAACTGAGACATGGCCGATGATGACAGGTTAGTCAGGTGTTTTATGTATATTGCAGTTTTCCATATTTCCTCAAAGAGGAAGAGTGTTGAGAGCTGAATTATTGCTAGAAGAAAATCCTAGCTACACCAGTGCTTTGCACCTAGAAGTGCACAACAAAACTTGCTCTGATACCTCTATTGCCACATGCGTGCTGTGTTAGGTGTCTTTTTAAAAGCCACTTATTTCTTGTTTGCCTTCATAGCTCCAGTGCCTACGACAGACTGGCCATATTCAACAGGTAATTCATGCCGGCCTGACCCACTCCTGGCCTTGCACCAAGCATCACCCCAAGACCACTCCCCAGACTGCTCCCGGGGATGATCTGAGATGCAGAAGGGCATCCACAATGGTGAGAGGTCCAAGCCCTGCTGCAGCCAGCAACCCTACAGCTCCCAACTCCATGCCAGGAGCCCGTAGAGGATGGCCTCCAGCTGCGCCTGGGCCATGGTGTCTTGTGGCTGTGAGCAGGTGCCACATCAGTACCTTTCCCTGCCATCACCATCTGGAAATACCACTTTCAAGAAAAAATTTCAGTTGGCTGTTACCCCCCTCCATTCTTTCCATTGACCCCAGTCAAGATGGAGTATGCCATCAGAGTAATTTGTCATGATTTCACTTCATTCTTGAGCAACTTGGCTTGGTGCCAACACACAAATGTACCCATTGCACAAGCATGGTCCTCATGTCGGTGGTGTTTTTCTTCCAAATTCATAGGACAGACCACTACAGCAGCAACCTCAGCACTGGAGACAACCTCCACAGTAGAGATGACCTCCATAGAGGATTCAACCACCCCACCACCAACAACCCTTGTGATAGACCCGACATCTGCAGCAGAGACAACTACTGTAGTGACAACAACCCTTGCAGCAGAGACATCCTCCTCCTCCCCAGCAGAGGTGACCTCCACAGAGGCCCTGGTTACCACACTACCGGAGAGCACATCAGGTAACTCTGTTCACTGTCTCCTTAGTGCCCCTGATTTCCCTTTCTAGACCTGATTGCACTGGAAGGAGTCTCCCATCCCTGGGCCACTCCAGTAAGGCCATTCCTGGCACCCAAGTCCACAGTGAGGATGCAAACGGAGTATGGAGAAGAGCTGGTAAACTGGGGAGATGAAGCTTGGGGCCAAGAACAAACTGGTGAAGGAAACTGTTCAAGAAGGGATTTCCTTTCACTGAAACCCGGGGCATTGTAAGAGGGGATCATTCGGCCTTCACGAGTCCAGCTCTTGCCTGAGTAGTAACGTAGCTATTTCTTAGACATGCTCCAGAATTTGGGATGAGACTGAAAAGAGAGAGACCACGGCCTCGCAGTGACCCAGCAAGGTCCCTGCTGTAGGGGCCCGACTGGGGACTGCAGAGTGCTGGGCTGGAAGGACGCCAGACCCCAGGCCATGGCTCTCCAGGGGGAGGAACAACTGCGAGGGCCACGTGGAGGTGTTCTATGGCAGCAGCTGGGGGACAGATTGGGATGAGACTGCAAAAGAGAGACCTGCTGCTGCATCAAATGTTTTGCAATATCAGTCAGACCTCCATGGGCATTGGGTTCATGCCAAGGGAGCAGGTCACTGTGTGAGACAGAGACTCCTGGTGGTCATGTCAATTGAATGAAAGACCTCCATGTGATGTCAGGTGTCACAGGACAGGGGTCCTTGAAGATAGGCTACTTTGGGGTGCAGGACAGGTGCTGACTGTGTTCAGAGCCTTTCTCATTGACACCAAATTCCTACTTTCAGCTGTAACTCCACTGCCCATCACAGACTGGCAGTATGTAACAGGTGAGTCCTGCCCACCGGACGCACCGCTGTCCTCGCAGAGGCCATGCAGGCTCCCTGCTGTAGGGGCCGGTCTGGGGACCGCAGAGTGCTGGACTGGAGGGACCCTGACCTGTGTGCCTCACCCCAGATCTCAGCCTGCGGCTCACTGGTGGGAGCAATGGCTGTGAGGTCCATGTGGAGGTGTTCTACGGCAGCAGGTGGGGGATGGTGTGCGACGACTTGTGGGACCTGAGTGATGCCCAGGTGGTGTGCTGACCGCTGGGCCGCAGTCAGCCCATGGCTGCCTGGGCAACGCGCACTTTGGCCCCGGCTCCGGGAGCATCTTCATGGATGATGTGCAGTGCCGCGGGGACGAGCCCTTCCTTGAGACGTGCAGGCACAGTGTCCGGGGTGTGCACAACTGTGTACACAGGGAGGATGCCAGTGTCATCTGTGCAAGTGTGTGGACAGGGGAGGCCACCAGCTCTCCTGCAGATCCCTCTGGGCGAGTTTGGGTGCCCTCCCTTGGGAGCAGCCATGCCTACCTCCCTTTGGTAGGGCCAGGGCAGAGCAGCGAGGTTGGGGGCTTTTGGTGCCTGGTTCTGGAAGCACGTTGCCATGCAAAAGCCCTATTTTTGCACACAGAGGGCATAGCAAGCTCTCAGCTCTCACAGGTGTAGGTGCTTGGTGCAGTGGCAAAGAGCAGGATTGTGGGATCGTGCCATGGGGAGGATGGGGCAGCACTGGGGACACATTAGGCTTCAGTCTGGAGGGGGAATGGCAGGACAAAAGCCTCACGGTCTCTTCACCGGTAAGTGTTCCAGCCTTACATTTCCTTGTCAATGCCCATGTACGTATCCATGGCCATGCCCAGGTCCATTGCCATTGCCATGGACATATGTCTGTCCAGGTCCATTGCCATAGCCACTGCATGCCCATTACCATATACATGTCCATGTCAATCTCCTTCTTGAATGGGCCCTGCACACAACAAGCGATTCGTGCCCATCCAGATTATGCCCAGCCTTCTAGCAAGCCCCAGCCTGGCACGAGAGGAGAGGAGGAGGGAAGTGCTGGCCTGACCGTGCCTAATACAAGGCTGCTGCTCCCCCACGCCCATGGCAGATCCAGGGAGCATGGTGGCTCCCATCAGATGCATGTTACCAGGTGTGAAACTTGTAGACACTTCCCAAAGACCAGCAAGACAAGGTGGCTGAGTGCTAGAGGGTTTTCTCACTTTTCCCCCACATTGTCTTCTCCTTTCTAAGGTGCCTCTATCATCTTGGTGAACGGCAGGAACCGGTGTGAGGGGCGCATAGAGATTTACCGCTATGGGAATGTCGGCACCGTCTGTGATGACAGCTGGGACCTGAACGATGCCCACGTTGTCTGCAGGCAGCTGGCATGTGGCTTTGCTGTTTCGGCACCATCAAGCGCCTACTTTGGACAAGGCACTGGCAATATCTACCTGGACGATGTGCACTGCACAGGGAATGAGACCTCCCTAGGGATTGAGCCCTCCCCCTCCGGGTTTAGCCACAACGGCTGGGGAGTCCACAACTGTGGCCACAACGAAGATGCTGGTGTTGTGTGCTCAGGTACCATTGCTTTTCCTTCCTTAATACCGGGACGCTTTCCAAGAGTGACCCTTGTTGGCCATAGTTACGTATGTCTGGGAGACATGTTGAAAGG